TAAAATATATTTAATATTTTTTTGGGGGGGAGGCAAGTCAACCCTCTGAGACTCAGAGCTCTCTCTCTCTCTCTCTCTCTCTCTCTCTCGGCAGTACTGAGGTTTGAACTCAAATTCTTGTACTTGCTAGGCGGGTGTTCTACTACTTGAGTCATGCATGTTTTGCTCAGGTCAGTCTGGACCACAATCCTCCTATCTATACTTCCTGAATAGTTGAGATGACAAGTGTATGCCACCACACTCAGCTTATTGGTTGAGATGGGGTCTCGTAAATTTTTTTTTTGCCATCTGGCCTGGAAGTGAGATCCTCTTGATCTCTGCTTCCTGAGCATCTGGGATTACAGGCATATACCACCTCATCTGACTGAGCCTCAGCTTTCTCTGAAGGGGTAATCCCAGTGCCAGGGCCTCAGAAAGTGCTAAGTAAGGCCACAGGGAGTGTCAGGCTGTGAGGGCTTTGTCTCAGTGTGAGTGGAGGACATCCCAGAGCTGGAGCCCTGCTTAGACCCCTGGTGGTGGGAGCTGTCGCCATTCTTAAATGTTATCTTACAACTGTGTAGTAAATAGGTGGGAGGCTCACTCTGCCTCTCGGAGGATAAAATAACTACAGCTCCGACTTGTACAAGCTACTTAAGCCTCAAGGCTAAAGCTAGGGATGGAGACCCACTTTTCTGATTTCACATCTGTGCTGTGCTTGGGTTCAGACTAAACACACACCCACCTCTGAGTACCAGGATTTGGTGCACAGTGCCTCTTTAAAGAAATCTCCTCACACACTGGGGATTCCTGCATGTGCCTCTTACTATAATCTGTCACCAAAGACTTGATATTCCTGAGCTGGGGCTCCATGCCAGCGCCTTGGTTGCCAGGTGCTGCTTTCCAACTCTCAGACTGGCCCCCTCTCCAGACATCCCCCCCCATCACTACTGCACCTGCTCCGAGCAAGGCCGACTCTCAGCCAAGCCCAGGGCACAGCAGCAGTGCTCTGCTGATTTTTTCTTGCCTTCCTCAGAGATGTCTGTGCTTGGAGGGGAAGCAGAACATTGCATCTTGGAACAAATCTGCTTTTGATCATGCAAATGAATGCCGGGTTAATGTAGGCAGACTGTCAACTTCACCAGTAAGGAAGAGAGAGAGAAAGGGGGTAAATTCCCCACCACGGAGACTGATGAGGAATTTCAATAGAAAGCTGCTACTTCAGAAATAAGATCATTCTCTGTGCACGGAGTCTTTCCACCTTCCCCGGCATCAGCAGCAGCCCCGAGGCTCCACGGGTATGTTGCTAACTTGGCTGGGTGTGCTTAGGACTCCTTGGGTGGCCCAGAGCTGGCCTAGGGTGGCTGGGGGTGAGGGTCTTCACACTGGCTTCATGTAGCCCATAGCCACCCACTGTCTTTGGTTGGAGGAAATTTGGCAGGTCTGCCATAGTGATGGTTGGGTCTAGGGGTTGAATGTGGGGTAGGAGGCCCCTACCTCTCTGGGATTCCCCAAACAGTGTGTGCTTGTGGGTTGAGCTCTGGTTGACATTTCTGCAGGTCAGCATGAGTAGAAAGTGTGTGTGTGTGTATACATGTTTCTGTGCAATGATTTGGAAACTTGGTCTCAGGTCAGACGTCATGATTCAGTGATTATATATTCTCAGTACTCCTGGTTTCTGCAAATATTCTTGGGATCAGGGTTACTAATCATTCTATTCAAATTAATGAATTAAGTGAAAAAAAAACTAGCATTTATTGAGCTCCAACCATTTTCCAGACACTAGAATATTTTCATCCTCTGAACATCTTTGTGAGGATATTTATCAATGCTGTCCCAATTCATGGTGAGGAAAACTGAGACTTGGCTTTGAGGCACCTGTGCTCCTGATTTCAATCCAAGGGTGTCTAGGGCTCTTATCCTGTTCCGCTGACAGATGGCCAAAGGAGCGGTCCTGGTCAGTCCTTGACCATGTGTCACCCATCTGGCAGTAACACTGTGGGACCCAGTGACACTTGCCCAGCTCCTTCAGACAGAGGATGTCCACCTCTCACATAGCACATGTCTGTTTCTTGGTTATTTGCCTTGCTCTGAGTTACCTAATCTTCCTGGGACCTTCCTGAGGGCAGGAAGTCAATTGGTACTTGCACCCAAACACCTGTCCTCACATCTGGCACGTAGTAAGTGACTTGTTAGCATTCAGTGGTTCAGCAGACAGGTTAGATACACATGCCTGACAATCTACTTAGGTGGACACAGTGATTTATTGCAATTAGGATATTTGGCTTTGTGCTACCACGGAACATTCTACAAAAGGGAGCAGTACATGCCACGCCCCTGTGTGGCAGTGTACTCAGCATCTCTGAGGAGCACCAAAGGGATCCTAGGCTACTGAGAAGCAAGGAGACCAAGGAGGGAGGAGCAGGAAGGAGGGTGAGGAAGTGGTCCCTGTCCCCCCATTGGACAGGGCTCTGGAAGCCACGGCAAGGTCTGGGGTTCTCACTTTGCCTGAAATGAGGCTACAGGGGACTCTGAGTCTAGGGCAGCCTGACCTGACTTCTACTGAAGGGATTTGGATTAAGAGGCTCCAGCAGAAGAGCGGGTGAGAGAGGGTTGGGATCTGGGGTCATTTTGAGGACAGAGCTGCCTGGATGGGCTGATGGAAGGCTGGTAGGATAGTAGAGAATAAGTTGAGTAACCTTTGGTGTTGAGCCTGAGCCTGTAGAGGATGCATTGCTGTTTGCTGAGAAGTCTATAAGAGAGTAAGCTGGCTTGGGTGGGGTTGGAGGAACCAGCAGTTCACTGTGGATATGAGGGAGAGAAGCTACAAGACTTCTAAGTGAAGATGTTGGCTAGACTGTGTATAAAGTCAGTGTAGAGATTGAGGGGAAAATCTGAAGGTACAGACAGGCTGGAGGTGCAGGTGTCCGTATGGCAGTGACCACCACTGAAAGCCGTGCTTCAGCTTCCAGTCCACCCTCTGTATCAGGCAGCACTCAGGTGCATTCTGGGAGGAGTCAGGGTCATAAGACCCAATGTCACACCAACGAGGACTCCAGAGAGAATGAGAGAATGTGGTGAGACAGGATCAGTGTAATCAGTGAACAGCATGTCCTTGCAAGTGTCCAGTGCCCTGAGGGGGTTCTGGGCAGCCACACAAAACAGGACTGCAAGGGGCCCTGCCACACCCACAGCAGGCACCCTATTCTAGTGCCTGCCTGGAGCACATGCATTCCCAGCGGCCTGGTTTGGGCAGTGAGCCTCCTGCTGGTAGTTACTGTCTTTCTTCACAAGTGCACCAAAGAAACTTGGCCTTGACAGCCTCAGGAGGGAACTTAAGGAGAGGAGTGAAATGTGGCACTGAGGGGGGACGTGGTCCTCTGGATCCAGGCTCTAACTAGAGTGGTTCAGAAATTCAGGACAGAGTAGGAAAGTCCCAATGATACAGTGCTTGGAGTGGCAGGCCCAAGGTAGCCACGTGCCCAGACAACCCTCTTAAAAAGTCAAGAAATACATCCTGGGCTGTGCTCTGGCCCACCACAGCCCCAAAGGCTCCCTCTCTGGTGAGTAGAACTTCCACCAATGGAGCAGGTATCGGAAGTACTACCAGGGTGTCCCCTCTCACCCTACGTGCCCTGTCTAAGAAGTCCCCAGGGCTCCTGGGAATCTGAAAACCAGAGGTAACTGGCATGAGTTTCCAGTACATGAAGACCCATTTTCCTCCCACAGGACAATGTTAAATAAGTCAATGCAAGAAGGTTATATTGCATATGACATATATATGTATGCAGAGGAACAGTAAAGATTAATTCATAATATTCTTTCTTGCTCCTCCATACCTCCTGATAGCCGACATTAGTTGCTTGCTATGAAACACATATAAATACACACATTTATGTATGTACAGATACTTACAGGTTGCTTTTAAAAAACTGGCATGCTTCCTTAATTCACACTCGTCTACATCTTTGTTTTCCACTTAGTGATGTGCCACAGACTTCCCTGTGCCAGCAGAGAGATATCTAGCTCATCTTTTTAACAGCTGCATAATATTTAATAGTTTGTATTATCTTAATTTAGTTCATCATTTCCCTGCTAATGGACATTTGAGTTGCTCCCAATTTTTTGCCACAATAATTAATGCTGTGATAAATACTCTTGTACATATATCATGTAAAGTTGGTGCTTTTATTGCTCTAAGATAGATTTCCCAAAGTGAGATATATTACCCAAGAGAAATAAAGTAATCCAAAGGAACTCAGAACCATGTGTGGATGAATTAATGAGTTTTGACACTGTTTTATATTCAATAGCGCTGATAGACTTATGCTGTGTGCACAGGAAGGGTTCCTTCCTTCCCCTCCAATCGCAGGCCTATCCCTGGGTTTCATGGTGGGGGCCTGCACCCCAGGTCTGACCTCCTAGAGGGCTTTGATTAAGAGCAGGAGGACAAGGGTCAAGGAGATACACTCTGCCTCTCCCAGAGTTGTTGCATCCTAACCACAGGCTGCATCTTCTAGTCAGAGCAAGAACTGATAGCAGCCCTTACAGCTCACTCCCAACACACCGCAGAGAGCTATGTTTTGCCAAGAAAGCTAAGAAAACCAGCTTGGAAGACTGGAGTCAGGGTGCCCTTCCAAGATGGAGATGGTGAGGTTTTCCACAGAGCCTTCATCCCCCTCCTCCTCCCAGTTCTCAGCAGGGTCAGCATCCTGCATGGAACAGGGATCTGTCTCCACAGCCCAGAACCTGGTGGTCCCAGCTTTGAGCTCCAAGGTCAGCTCCTGCACACAGTTCTCCATAGAGTTCACTTATAGCTGTGACTTGTTGGATGTATCTGTGTTGCCTACCTCCCTGAAAATGTCTGAACCCAACCTCCCCTATTACCACCTCCAAGTTCCTCTAGTCTTTGCATGTGGTCATTTTCAGCTATTGTTTTGTGAACAAGCAAGTAAGCCAGTGACTCTTAACTCCACAAGTCAGGCTTGGAGGACCAGATCCTCCAGAGGTCTCGCCCCACCAACCTTCACAGCCTTGGCCCTGTAGATGACTCCGTCATCCTGAGAGCTGCCAATGAGCAAATCGACCTTGGTCCTCGGAGGCCTCTGCAGTGCTCTGGCTGGAGCTTCACGGAGGTACTGGCCATCAACCACAGGACCCCAGTAGTGGAAAGGGCCACTCACAGCCAGGAGCTGCATGGTAGGAAGGGTACCATTATTCATATGGACCTCACCGTCTTGCCTTTTCTCTTTTGTAAATAATGCTGAATAATCAATTGCATCACTTTGCTTCCTGAGGTCCTAGCCACAGTGAATGCCCCATGTTGGTTATCCAGCTGGGGATCTATTGGGAAACCAGGACTAAATGACCGTAAAAACAGAGAGGCAGGACACTAGGCGACAGTGCCAGGGGCTGGGTGGCAAATCCCACTCTTAGCAATGGTTGGTCCCCAGAAGAACCTGCCAGAGCTGCCCTCTTTAACCTACTGAAGTAACAACAGAACCCCAGAAAGAACGAGTATGTGGCTAACAGGTGACATCAATCAGCTTTAGTTCCACTCAGGTTAGCCCAAATTTAGGAGGACTGAGGACAAGACCCACTCCAGATCCATGAGACCAGACTTGTTGCTGAGGGGACCAAGTCATCAGTGAAGTGACATAAGCATTCTTGCTAATGTCCCCTTTACCAATGCCAGTGGAAGCCAGACACTTGGGCTTCTGAGCAAGGTCTTTGTAGGCTAGAAAGGAGTGCACAGCTCTCCCATTGAAGAAGTGGGAAGGCACAAATCCATTGCCAGTTTTGAAGCCATGCCCATAAGGCTCAGTGCACAGGGCTGTGACATGACTGAGCTCCCACCACAGTCCTTCACATGGGTAATGTCCTTTTCCCTGACACCATAAGATCTGTATCACTACTTCCAACTGTAGCTAAGACATTGACTTGCAGAGATTCTGCCTCCCTCAATGCCCACGTGTGGCCCACTGTGGCCTTTGGCCCCCATATGGACAGGGGAGATGGTCAGGGAACTTGCAGCCCAGCTCCAGCTGGTCATCTATCAAATGGGTGGCGTGGGCGGGTCACACCTCCTCTCTGGACCTTGGTTTTCCATTTGTAACACACTACAGACCATCCCTCCCCACCTGCACACAAGTGCCTACCTTGGTCTGGGCATCATTGAGGATGTTGGCAGGTTTCTGGCGGAGGCAGGCTAACACTTCTTGGTCAGGCGACGTGGGGCAGCCAACCTCCTTGGCCAAGGCCTCTGCCTGCTGCTGAGCCCTGTTGAGGCTGATGACAGCTGCTGGGGAGAGGGCGGAGCCTCCCTAAAAGAAAAAGCAGGCTCAGGACTGATGGCGCTAACTACCTCCTGCCCCTGCTCAGCCCAGTGACCTCAAGGCCGCTGCAGGACTCTGACTCCCTTCTGCAGAGGGGAGCTCCTGACACTCGGGACGGGGATGCCCACGGGCCATATTCCTTCATAACTACCTGCCTCATTTATTCTCATGAAGATTACATGAGACGCAGCTGATTGTGTTCCTGGGACAGGGAAGGTGAGGTCTGGCGGGTGGTCACTAAGGACAGCAGAGTAGGGCTACTCTCTCTGGTCACTGAGAGGGTTGTTACAGTAATGCAGAGGAAATAATGCTATGAAGTGAGGTGCCGACACTCGCCACATCATTGGTGCTGTCACCCGTTGCATAAAAGACACAACAGATAGATGCCCAGAGAGGAGGAGATCATCCTCCTGAGGTCACAACTGGAAGGCCAAGGGCATTTGGATGCATCTTGTGGATCAAAGGAGATGGTAGAAGGACAAAGGTCATGGGCAAAGAATGGGCATTATAGTGAGACCTGAAAGTGCTGTGGTAAGCCTGAGAGCCGACATCCAAAGGCAGAGGGGAGGAAAACAGGAAGAAGTCCAAGGCTGGTCCTATCCATGAGAGAGCCCACACCCTAGGCTCCAAATCTGAGGCCACATGCATTGGACACAGCTGTTTAGTCCAAGGAAGGGACCCATAACCAGAGGCAGAGGCATGTCTGTACAGCCAGAGACTCAGCAGATGGACATGCAGTCAGACAGCTTCATGGCCTGGTACCTGGGAGCTCCTCTCACAGATCTGAGCCTCTCTCTGGATCTGGGGATCCAGACTGAAGACAGAGAAAGGCAGAAGTGATCTTCTGTTTTGAGTTTATTCAGATAATAAATTCAGAGTCTGTTGCCATAGGCTAGCCTACTACCAAATGCACAAAGCAGGGCACAAGAGCCCTGGAATCACTAACCAGTGGCTTTCTGAGCTTCAGCATCTTCAAAAGAGGAAGTCCTAACTCCAGGGTCAGTGTGAGAAGTAGCAGTGCAAGATCAAGCACCCAGCTGGCACTTGACCTTGAACCACTGATCTTCAGCCTAGAGCTCAATGGAGGTGGCAATGAACCAAAGCATGACAGATGATTTAGTCTAGTGATGGGTTTACTTTTTCCAACATGGAGTGGCCAGCTTTTCTCAGAAGCACTGGGTGTGTTTATCTTAGCACAACACATCTGCTCGAGATATTCAGGGCACAACCAAGGACAGCCGTAGTGACTGCTGGGCCCAGCTTTGCCACAGGAGGCTGCAAGGACATGAGAATTTCAGGACACGTCTCTGATGTTTTCAGCATTTTCACCAGCTATAAATAGCCAGGGCTCCTGACATGGGGAGGAAGTGGTTAAAGGCGTGGGCTACATTGACATTGTGAGATAACTTAGAGAACTTTCCTCTCTCTTGCTTTGTTTTAATCGATCTTTCTGAAGGAAACCTTGTTCTTCATGGAAAATTGTCAGTTAGGCAAACCAACAGCTGAGCTGGCTGTTAGAGCCCTTACTTGGAGACCAAGGACTTGAGGTGGTGGGTGGTTCCTGAACAGAGGTGGGAAAAGAGCACAGGCTCTGAGGATAGAGGGGCCAGGATTGAACTCCAGCTCTGGCACTCTGTGATGAAGTGACTTGGGTGAGCAACTCCCTCAGGGCCTATATTTCCTCATCTTGAGTGACAATAAGAAGCCACCTTTCACAGGGCCATTGTGAAGATGCACAAGGCATCAGGGAAGATGGTGGATGTCCCCCACATGTGGTGTGCGGGACAGGACCTCTGTCAGTACAGTGGGATCTCTTGGTACCCCAGAGTGTAGAGGCTGCTGATCTTCTCAGCCCTCCCTGTCATGGGAGCCTAGGTTTGAACTTTATCTGAATCTGACCTGCTATTAAGTGGCAATGAGTTTCCTCTTGTTTTATTTAACTTCAAAAATAGTGTGAACCAAAACCACAATTGCTGACCACAACCGTTTCTTCCTGGTGCCTCTGAACATTGCCTTGACCTCAATCAGCCCTAGGGGCCACCTCAGACCAAGACCTGCCTCTGTCCAAGAACACATACAGTCCCAGGCAGACATACTTACACAGACAGACTCTCAGACACACTTGGACACATAGTCAGATGGACACACAGACATGAATGCAGAGACACACACACACACCCATACACACACACACAGAGAAATACACACACAGAGAAACATGCAGCTTCTCATACAGGCATGTACAATCAGACACAGACTCACACAGGCACACACATACACATACACATAAACACACACAGACACCTTACATACAACAACCCTTTGTGAACTCCTTAAGTGACTCCTTAAGTGTCTCCTTAGGTGTCTTCCATAAAGACATCCTCAAACACCAAAGCAACAGGGATACGTGGATTTTCTGCTATCTCAGGAGCACCCTGGTGGCTCTGAACTAGGGGTCAGTGAGTGGAGGGTGGCTCTGGGCTGGACAGAAGCCCTCTGAGAGAACCTGTTCTAGCTCCTTCCTCAAGCTCCCATGAGCCTCAGCCCTCCTTCACCTGGATCCTTGGCTAAGCAGTGGGACACCCTAAGGGAAGGAGTGGGAGGGTGGAAAGTGGTGCTCTGTGGATTCCTCAGCCACCTCCTCACCAGGGGACACTATGTGGTGTCCTCTGTTCCTGCAAAGCCCTACAGCAGTGCCAGCATGGAGACACGAGAATTAATGTGCACTCACTGTGTGCCACACACACCAGAGCTGGATGCATAAATGTAGCTCAGCTGTACCTAGAACAGCACATGAGGTGGGCAACTATAGACTTTAAGTGTAGGGGCAGCAGACTGGGCAGAGCAAAGTCCCACACCCCAGGCCCGCATCTGGAGAGGGCACAGGCTTTGAACCCAGGCAGCGGCTCCACAATTCCATGCTCTAACCACTGTGCATGGTCAGTTTCATGCCTGTGACCTTCAGTCTCATACTGTCCCTGTGAAAAGCTGAGGCCAAAGCCAAGTAGAAAGGCCCTGGCTCTGGAACAGGCAGACCAGGCTTTTGTTTCAGCTCTGCCAGCTGCCATTTTGCCAATTCCCCTTACTTCTATGTTTCCGGTTCCTAATTTGTAGAAGGGATGTATAGTCAGCAGTCACAGAGCAGATGTGAGACAATGGTGCCAAGTACCCAGCACATACCAGCACCCTGTACAAGTTCACTGTAATTGTCACTGGGAAGATTGCTGGCACATAGGTTTAATTCCAACAGTGCAATGCATTACCCTGGCTCAAAGTCACAGAACTAAAGTGGGCAGTGCCAACAGGCTGACAGGCAGCAGGACCCTTGTGGTCTCCATCTTGGAGATCACTCCTGCTCATGGCCACATGGCTCTACCTACCAACAGGGCATGGCTCACCCACATCTTTCTGGTGCCACACACTGGCCACAACACATCCTTGCCCACTGTTCCAGGAAGCTGGGGTAGAGTCAGAAGGACTATGTTTCTTTAGGGAGAAACTCTGCACACAGACCGGGAACCCAAGTGGCCCAGCTCTAGGCCCAGGGCTTCTTTCCACAACTTCTAGCTGAAAGAGTTGTAGCAGCCCCAGCTGGACTCCTGGGCCTCTCAGAGCTCAGTCAGCTCCAGCTGGTTTCCTGGCTGAACTGAACCAGTCACCATCTATCACCTGAGAGTTGTCAACACAAACTATACTTCAATTCTATTTTACTTAAGGCAAAAAAAAAGCGTAAGTCCCCGAGCTTGGGTTAGATGGATGGTTTTTGAAAACATGGACTGTGCCTAGAAAGCCACACACACTAGTGACCTCTCTGCTATGGGGTCAGGACAGAGTAAAGAATTCTTGAGAACTCTGAGGAGGGAGGGAGAGCACCAGTGTGGCCTAGATGCTGCTCTCCATGACTGGCTGGACTTGAGAAGACTTTTTGTGGTGCTGGGGTTTGAACTTGCTAAGCAAGCACTCCACCACTTGAGCCATGCCCATAGTCCTTTTTGCTTTAGTCTGTTTTTCAGATAGGGTCTCTTGTTAACTTTGCCAGGGCTGGCCTTGGACCTGGATCTTCCTATCTCTACCTCCCAAGTAGCTGGAACTACAGGTGTGGTCCCACCACGTCCAACCTACTTTTAAGATAGGGGCTTGCTAACTGTGTTCTGGCTGGCCCCAAACAGCAATCCTTCTGATTCTCCAACTCCCGTAGTGGGATTATAGGCATGCACTACCATTCCCAGACCTTAAGAGGACTTTGATGGGAGGAAAGGAGTGGAAAGAGGGAAAAAGAGTGGGGGAGTAGACAGAGATGGCAAGAGGGGTCAGGACCCTGATCACCCAGTGGAGCTGTAGTAGACAGGAGCTGGGGCCTGAGGCTCCCACCTTGCCCAGAACTGGAGACAGTAAGTAAGTGTCTGTGCACTTGAGGCAGTAGATGGGTGGATGAATGGAGAGACAGAAGGATCACTTAATTCTCCTGAAGGAAGAGAGGAATTTGGTAGAGAGACAGTGAGGAATAAAGTCCAGAGGACAGTCTATCCCATGCTAAGCATGAGGGCAGTTTTGAAGGGCCTAGCCCTGGGATGCAGCACAGGTATCCTATGGCAGTAGGCATATAGTAAGCCTTTTGAACAGGGTATTACAAATAAGTATTCCAGAATGTCACTGGGCCATATCTTTGCATCCTCTGTGCTGAACATGGTGCAAGCACTCATTAGGCCTCAAGAAATGATGGAGCATGGGAACCTCCCAATGCAGACTTCTATAGGCAGGGGTGACAAGGTAGTCATTCCTTTACTGCAGAGTCCAGCATGGAGCATGGTGCCCAACGGCCTTCCCTAAAGACATGTGCAAAGAACTGAACTCAGATGAAGGGTGGGTGCTGCCTTCTGACTGAGGGAGCCTCTGAGCCAGGGATCCAGTGGACTCTTGTGTGGTCCAAGACTATGGAGAGAAAGGCATGTGCCAGAGCGCACGGCCATTGCCCCAAACCCTTCCTC